AAAAAAAAAAAGAATGAATGAAGATAAATACATTCAGAAAAGAAATCAGATGATTGCTGCAACAAAGTATTAAGCAATAATAATAGTAATGCAAAGAAAGTAACATTCACATTGTCAAATAAGAGTATGACTATTATAGAATTTTTTGACTCTGAGGTTCAGTATAGAGTCATCAATTAACTTCTTATTATTTTTTTCCGAAGTCTCAAAAAATAGACAACTAATATTTATAATTAAAAATAAAAGATAATTTCAAAAAACAGATCATGCCAAATCTTATAGACAATAAAAAAAGAAGAAATACTTCAAAATCATTCTACTTAACCTGGATACATCTAATATTAAAATTGGAAAAATATATATTATTATAAAGGGGAAATTACAAACATATTTCACTTTTAAATGAGGATGCAGTATCCTGTATCCTAAACAACATATTAACAAGTTGAAGTAAAAATTAATGTTTAAGTGATGTACTTTAGTCAAAATCGAATCAAATTTATGTGAGAATTACAGTGTAAATATTTTAATAAATATTTATAATAAAACTTTTAAAAGGTTACATTTGTGTGCAATTCCCACAGGAGAATCTGAAAATCTCTTATGTGTAAAACAGTAAACATCCTGAGAATTTTATTAAAATGTTTTACATGATTTTTAACCTACTACCTGGAGTACATACAATGTAAATATCGAAAAACCATAACCATGACTTTACCTGGCTAGGAAGCTGAAGAAGAGGATGAGAAATGTGCCCATGAGCTTGAGTCCCTGGAGAAGCACAAGCACCTGCTGGAGAGCACCGTGAACAAGGGCCTCAGTGAGGCCATGAATGAGCTAGAGGCTGTTCAGCGCGAGTGAGTTCATCTCACCAAGACTTTACATTGCTTATGTAACATTTCTGTAAAACTAGATCTATTTTCAGTTGCTTTAGTTTATTTTATAGAGCTATTTGGGGTAGAGGAAGTGGTAAATAGAATTAAGCACAACTGCTTATAACGTGAAAGACTTTCCCTATTAACACATACATTCCTCTAAAAAAAAAAAAAAACAGATACATTCCTCTACTATAATATTATACCTCACAGCAACCTCAAACTCCTGGGCTTATGCAGTTCTCTTGCCTCAGCCTTCCAAGTAGCTGGACTACAGGCACGCACCACAACACCCAGCTGTTTTTAGAGACAAAGTCTCGCTCTGGCTCAGGCAGGTCTCGAACCTATGAGCTCAGGCAGTCCACCCACCTCTGCCTCCCAGAGTGCTAGGATTACAGGCATACGCCACTGCACCTGGCCAGTTAGTGAATTTTGGTAATATTACTCTAAGCATGCATAAACACCACTGAGTTCTTGGATTCTTAAGTTATGCATGTATTTCCCTAGAAATTATGTATGTTAAATGGTAAAATGTAATTATACTATAAATTAGGTCAGCCTGCTATAACACAACATATGCCTAATAATTTTATTGCAAAATCATGCAATAAAAATCACAGAGCTTATGGCTTATCTCCTGTAGCATAGTGGTTATGGCGCCAGCCACATATACCAAGCTGGTGGGTTCAGACCTGACTTGGGCCAGCTAAACAACAATGTCAACTGCAACAAAAAATAGCCGGGCATTGTGGTGGGCTCCTGTGCTCCCAGCTACTTGGGAGGCTGAGGCAGGAGACTCGCTTGAACCCAGGAGTTGGAGATTGCTGTGAGCTGTGACAGCACAGCACTCTACCCAGGGGGACATAGTGAGACTCTGTCTCCAAAAAAAACAAAAAACAAAAAAAAAAACACTGAAGACTTACCCAGGAATAATTTTAGCCAGACTTTATAATAACTGTCACTACAAATAGCAGCATCCTTTCTTTAAATGCTATATATATGTGTGTGTATATATATATACACACACATGCATGTTCCACAACCTCTACAAATTAATGTACTGAATAGTTAATCCATATGCTCTAGGTACATTTATATAAAATACAAATTTTTTTCAGTCTTAAGTCACCCTTGAATAACTGAAAAGCTCTTACTTTGATCTTGTAAGTATAAGCCTTGAGAAAGTCATACCTATTTATTTATTTGTAATCTAAGGACAGAAACCTTAGTTGAGGTTTATTTGGCCTACAGTGTTGTCTTTATTATAGTTTGAATTTTAATGCCTAAAGATAATATTTCTATTCTCCCATTTGCGAATGTCTTGCTTTGTCTTGACAGCATTTTACTTTATAGTTCCTTCGGAGACTTTTTTAAGACTGTTTGCTCTAAAGCATAATATGTTAAAGCATGAGGGTTTGATGCTGTTTTGTCTGGTTGCTTGCAAAGGATCTTGGAAAATATTTTCATTTCTGCTTTAATAGTTGATAGCTGGATCTCTATGAATTATACATATAGCAAGTTTTGCAGGTACTGATATCTCACAGCTTGTTTTATTGAATGTGGAAATAGAAAGTGACCTAGAACTGATATATTAAGCTTTTCTGGACAACTTAAACAAGAGTTTTTATTCTACAGATACCAACTAGTTGTCCAGACCACAACTGAAGAAAGACGAAAAGTGGGAAATAACTTGCAGCGTCTTTTAGAGATGGTTGCTACACATGTAGGGTCAGTGGAGGTAAGTGAATTATGGTCTTTTCTGTATTCTAAGAAAGGTTTTTAAAACTATGATGTATTTCTACTATCGAAAATGATTTTTCTTTCAATTACAAATATGATCTATTATAAATTTATCAGAAGAATCCCATCTAGTGTTGTGGCTAGGGGATACAGAGGGACACTTGCAAATTTTATCAAGTACTCTGCATAAACAACATGCAATGGTATTTACTACATCAACAATGGAGGCTGGGCATGGTGGCTCATGACTGTAATCCTAGCACTCTGGGAGGCTAAGGGAGTAGATAGCTTGAGCTCACAAGAGACAAGCCTGAGCAAAAATGAGACCCCGTGTCTAATAAAAATAGAAAAAAAAAAAACCTAAGGCAAGAGGATCACTTGAGCCTAAGAGTTTGAGATTGTTGTGAGCTGTGATGCCATAGCACTCTACCCAGTGCAACAGTTTGAGACTCAGTCTCAAAAAAAAACAATGTGTAGGCCAGCCATCATGGCTCATGCCTATTAATCCTAGCACTCTGGCAGACTGAAGCAGGTGGATTACTTGAGTTTGGAAGTTCAAGACCTGCCTGAGCAAGAGCAAAACCCTATCTCTACTAAAAATAGAAATATGAGCTGGGTGTTGTGGCAGGTGCCTGTAAGTTCCAGCTACTCAGGAGGCTAAGGCAGGAGGATTGTTTGAACCCAGAAATTTGAGGTTGCTGTGAGGTAGGCTGCCACTACACCACTCTAACAACTCTCTGAGCAACACTGTAACTCTGTCTCAAAAAAAAATATGTTGTACTGGGCCATTTTCTACATACGGAAAATACATCAGCACATTTACTCTTTCTTTAAGATTACGGTGAAAGAGCATATCTTATGACAATTGTTTTTCCTTTCTGTAATTTCATATAAACACAGAACAAAGTATTTCTGAAGCATGAAGTTTCTTCAGTCTTCACTTAGCTTTAACATTCAATAGTAAAACTTTCTCTAACCTGCTGTAACCCTTAAAAGCTAAGATAAATTTCTCAACTACAAAATTCCTGGTTAATTTATTAGGTGACAATACATTTCCAGTGAGAACAGTTTAAGAAAAGCAAATTTATTTTCATTATATCACATGAATAGTCTCCATTTATTGAAAATGGGGCAAGAGTGAGACTCTTTCTCTACTAAAAACAGAAAAAGTAACCAGATATGGTGGCACATATCACCACACGTATGTGATATCCCACTTCTGGTCATCTCTTCTGAAACACAGGGAACTGCTGCTTGCTTGCTAGTGCTCTATACCGCTTAGTGGTAAGAACTAAGAAAAGTATCCTGGGTGCCACATCAGAAAACCTGAGTTGGCCAGGCTTGGTGGCTCACACCTATAATCCTAGTACTCTGGGAGGCTGAAGTGGGTGGATCACCTGAGCTCACAAGTTTGAGACCAGCCTGAGCCAGTGCAAGATCCTGTGTCTAAAATTAGCCAGGCACTGTGGCGGGTAAGTCCCAGCTACTTGGGAGACTGAGGCAAGATGATCACTTGGACCCAAGAGTTTGAGGTTGCGGGAAGCTGTGACACCATGGCACTCTACCAAAGGCAACAAAGTGAGACTCTGTCTCTAAAAAAGAAGAAAGAAAACCTGGGCTATGCCCACT